TAGTATTTTTAATATAGTGTAAAGACAAATGTATATTGCTGGTCTTTGACCGTAATAAAGATCTTACTTACTTACTTACCAATAAGGAATTGAGTCAGAAAATCATTTAAAGCAGTTTATTACGGTACCCTTATAAAGTGGGATCTTCCTATGAGAAAGGAGAATCTCGAGACCCATCTTACATCCCTTTTTATAGTTAACACAACAACAAAAATGCAAGAGGAAAGTTGATTGGACAGGATAAAAGTAACCTCCCCTTTGCATAAGAAATCAGTGTTACATGTAGTCAAACATTTTACATATTTGCATCCCATAATATCACACATGTTCATTAAAATGAGGTCTGATGTCAGAAGGAGTGTAAATTGTAAGGAAAAAAGTTTGTTTAGAGTTCACAAAACCAGACTTCAATTTGTACCAACAAACTTTTTCTTATCTGGAGATAGTCTCTAGCCTGTTTATCTTTTCAGTTTAGGGGTGTTAAAAGCTATTCCTAAATTCCAGTCTGTAATGAGTCTTTAAAAGAAAGAAAATAAATCAAATGAAAATATAAAATAACTATGTTAAAAATACAAAGAAAAATATAAAATAACTATGTTAGCTAACAAATTAGAAACTCCATGTAATGTGCCCCTCATGTTTCCTGTCTAATTTACCTGGGAGCTGACAATTGTATCTGTTCTGTCCATAATCAGGGACATCTATCTATCTCCTTGATGGACTGCAAATATGACTTTTATCTAACAAAGAAATGACTCCGGGAATGAAGTCAAGAACATAATTAGTGTCTCCCAAAGCTTCCAACAAATCAGATCCTTTGGGTTTTCTGCCTTGTTTTCTGTTTTTCTATTGGGTGGGGGTGGGGGTCTTCATTCTTGTAAAGCTGAGCCCAACAATTGTTGAATAAACAGTTGGTGTTCTGTTACTTCCTTCAGAGTTTTCCATGACAATGTGACTAATACTGAGGAATACTATGACTTCCATATAGACTCCTAGTGCCATAGATCCCCTATTCTAGGGCATACTTTACCTCAAACAAAAACAAAACCGTACTTTATTCTGGTATAGTCTTTCCCTATCTTCATAATCCAATAACTACTAGAATGCCATTGGGTTGGTATGGATATGTGGGCACTGAAATCAACACTTCTGGAGGGACTTCCATTGAAGAAAGCTTGTTTTTTTCACAATAATAAAAGCTAGGTAACAGCAATTCAACAGTAGCTAGAATGTCATGGGATCCACATCTCTGAGAAACATAGAAAAACAAGAATATGACTACTTATTCATTGAGCAAATAAATAGAATGATGTATGCAATACAGTGGTGAAATTCAAAAATTTTCCCTACCGGTTCTGTGGGCATAACTTGGTGGGTGTCGATTGATGGGCGTGGCTTAGTGGTCATGTGATTAGGTGGGTGTGGATTGGCGGCCATGTGACCGGGCAGGCAACAAGCAGGAACCTCAGAGTTACAGAGGGCTCAAAAACCAACTATCAACCAACTTACACAAAAATAACACAAAAGTAGAAGAAGCTAAGGTCAATGTAGAATGTCATTAATTTCTTTATTTCTTTTTTCTCAATAGATTTTAGACTGTGTTAGTTAAAAATCCATACCGTGTACGGGTTCTGGGAAGTCGGGGGGGGGGGAAGGGGGGGGGGGGGGGGGGGGGGGGGGGGGGGGGGGGGAGGGGCACACACACAAAAAAAATTGTACTTCAATGTTTTAATGATTGACAAATGATGACATATTTGTGTTTTTTTTTAAAAGAAAAATAAAAAAGTTCTGTT